AGCATGGACCCCGTGAGCTGCACAGAGAAGGGAAGGACAGAGCAAGGACGGGCTCCTGGATGGACAGACAGCCCCTTTCATTCCTCACCCCTATGTGTTAGCGACTGTTTGTCTAGCTGTTTGTCCTAGGAGATGGAGTCTGAACCCTAGCACAGGCACCGAAAGCAGAAACGTCCTCAGGCTATACAGAACCCAGTAAATCTTAGACCACAGCAAGATTCCACTTTTTCTATTACTTCAAGACTTAGCACCTAATCTAAATTATCCTATCACCAATCTGATTTATTCTGCGATCACCTCTCACTCAGGGTGTCCAGAGGCCAAATATCACTGGAGCATGACAGAATGTGCCAGCAATGAGTCCCTGGGTCCACCCTGTCCCTTTACAGGTCCCTCAGGGCTCCTGCTCACACTGCCAGAGACTGCTGGTCTACCCGATACAGACATTGCTTCATTCCAAGCACTCACTAAAACATCTCTTTGTAAGGGATTTCTAAAGTATATTCATCCTGAGGTGTTCTCCAGTCCTTCACCCCTACAGGGACATTCTTCAGGGCAGCCACTATTCAATTCTCTCTATGCCTTACAGACAGGAGGCAAGTTAGCTGGCTTGAGGCTTCTATAAGTAAGTCAGCTTTTAGAGAGGATGAAAGAAAAACATGATAGAATTTGGTCCTTCTCATTCAAAAGACCTTATCTAGCAGCAGAGGGAGTGAGTAGGGCAGATTCACCTTCAACATAATCTCTTGCTAGCTCTCCTTACAGCATTCCCAGCTTCTGCCCTTCACTGGATGCTGAGCATGAATGCAGGAATGAATCACTGCTGATCTTGGCAAAATACCAGTCTCCCTCCCTTTGCTCCAGCTTGGAATAATCCCAATTTTCCAAATGGCTTCAGTGAATCCAGGATTTAAGTTCAGCTATTAAAAAGTAGCGGGAACCCATAAATCACAGGCTTTATATCAGTGAGGTCTTTGATGCATTTAAAACAATCACTGGGAAATATATGATCTTCCTAAAAATAACTATTTATGCGAACACCAGGAGAGAAGCTACTGTGAAAACATAATACATGGACAATCTAATCTCCACCCCTCAACCCTGAAGGCAGGCACAAAGCCTCTTTACTCCCTTTTGCTGCTCACAGCTGTATTAGAAATGATAATATGCTGAAATGACACATGCTTATGATGATGTTAGAGCAGTATAAAAATCATGCAGTAAATTAATGTATGCCTGCTTTCAAGTCCAAGAGGGTGGAAATCACCAGCCCATAGGAGGTATTTTTTTTCACCCATCATATTGCTCACAAAATGGCTTGTAATTACAAACTTTGACACCAGGCTTGTTTCAATGGTGACATTTCATTCCTGCCACTGATACGGGCATAGGAATGCTAGGAACAGACAGAAAGAGCTGATCTAGGGACTGGTCAAAGAAGGGAGATTAATTAATTTTGTAGACCAAACGAATTTTGTTAGTGAAATGTTACTCATTTCAGCCTGCATCTGACAATGTTGCTCTATCATGGAAATATACAATTTTCAGCTCTCGCTGAAATTGTTTTCTGCTTTCCACTATTGCCACTGGTATGTCACTTAGAGCATGACAGGCATTCGTGTAGCATATGGATGTGGTTCCCATAACAGCATAAATAGGAGTTGCCATCTCTGCTGCACAGGTGGTGACAAAGTACAAGGAGAGAACAGGCTTTAAACTAGTCTATGACAGATGCCCTGCTGGGAAGGTTAAAGCACACCTACCACCTGACCCGAATCAGGACACATCAGGAAACCACACACCAGAAGTACATGTGCTCCAGGTCACAGGAAGCACCTGGGCTGTTGTGGCACCAGATGCCTACTCAATAAAGTATCTGCAATGGCAACAGAAACACATAACCTCTCTGCTGTCACCAAGTCTTCTGCAATGAGACAGGACCAACACACAGCTTCCACCATCGAGAGGATTTCTGTCATTAAACCCAACAAGCCTGCACCTCAGCTGTGTCCGCTCTGAAAAGTAACCCTTTATGTGGCAGTGTGTAATGCAGCAGAGCTGGTATGGAGAAGCTGTAGAGCAAATCCATGCTGCCTGTGGATCCTCATGAATGCCAGGACCACTGAGACACTCCAGCCTGCCAGGAAGCCTTTATCTGCAATGGTTAGAGCAGGCTGGAACAGGAAGAGGGAGCTCTTCCGCTGTGCCCTGTGGAAACCCAAAGACAAGGACACTCCTTCGTTTTGTCCTCTACTTCCCCTAGTCTTTGCTCTCCCAGCCCCAGATCCCTTCACCTTCTTTTGTTGCTGCTTCCATCACTCCTTCCCCAAACGAGAGCACATTGCTTCTGACCTCGCAGTGCTGGAATCCAGTGATTTGCACTTCTGAGCCTTCCTTATCGCACCTTCCCAGGGCTATGCTTGCTCTACGGTCCTGCTCTCGAGAAGCAAGGAAAACAAACACAGAGTTAACCTGGTGGGGGGGGGCACCCAACTCCAAATAAACACAAAGCTGGGGAGCAGGATTTACTGCAGGGAACACTGCAAACCTTTGGTTTTGGCTTCCTTATGCATCCAACTTTTGACTCTCAGCTCTGTCTGCGCAAGATTAGCATTATTGGTACAACCCACTTAGGAAATCTCTGAAAGCGATTCAGCCACTGCAGTATGATGAAGGAAGATGTCTTGTTTTAAGAACACAGACATTACAAGAAAGGGGAGAAAAAAATAAAAGGGTCCCTTACTGTTCTGACATATCAAAAGGAGACTAATGAACCACCAGTTCATAGAACGACCCTGCTCTTCATTTCACAGCCAGGCTGGCCTTTTGTGTTAAGGACACTGAATAACAAGAGCAAGAACAAACAGAAAGAACCCTTTCCCCCTGCCCAAAGTAAATTTTGAAATGAAATCATTTAAAAACTACACCCTTCTGCCCTACTTTAAGGTCCACATAAGAACAGATGAAAAGTTTTGTTCTACTGGCAAAACTGAATCAAGGCTTTTGATCCTCAAAGATCTCTTAATCGCTTTGCACATCAATTCTTTTCATTATTTCAAACACACTTGAAGACAGCTACTTTTTTCTCTCTCTTTTTTTAAAAACTACTTTTCTGTGTTTGGGCCATTTCCCAGCTAACTCTGGCACTATGGCAGACAGCTGTTTGCTCCTTGCTAACTTACAACATGCATACACATAGATCTGCATTAGTAAAGTCTAAAAAAGCATGATCCTTGCCACCAATTGTGCTAGCTCACAGTATCCACCTCTTTGCCCTTCTGGTGCTTAGGAGAAGTTCCAAAGAAGATTATATGCTTCTGGTTAAAAAAAGAAAGTAGTCGTTGTTGGGATGATTGTTGGGGTTTTTTTTTAAAGCTTGACTCAGAATTGGAATCTCTGTCTCATCAAACTGAGCCTCAATCAAGGTTTCTCATAAATTTCATGTCTTTACAATTCCAGCAAGTCAAATCCAGCACCAAATCACCAATCCTTAAACAAAACAGGGATAGAATTTGCAGTTACCCGAATGGCCACCTTACCATCCCTGCGAGATGAGTGTTTAACTGGACTCAGAGTTTTAGAACAAGTATGTTCAGTGTCCTATGTTTTTTTATTAGTCTTGCTCCTTCTTTTTCGCTCACTGACCAACTGAGAGGACAGAGACATTTTTCAAACCAAGACCATTCTTTGTCTGCACAAAACCTTGCAACAGGCAGGTTCCCCAAAATTACAATACAAATTATAGACAGGAGAGGTGGAGTCGGAGCGAGCCAGCTCACAAGGCATCAAGGGGGATGGAGAACATCAAAAACAAGCTCCACCTGGAAAGCTGCATGAGGCAGCAGAGCAAGTTTAATGCGTTCAGAGCCTGAGGCACTGTTTAGCAAGTGGGTGGATGCTTTTTGAGCCAGCTCCATCTACCCGAATGGTGTCAAAGCCATTGTAAACCGCCTTGTTAAATTCTGGTCACAAAGCAATCCAGAGCTGAGGAAGGCCAGCAACAGAAGGCTTCTGGCTACACCAACACAGAACAGGCGTATACCTTGTTATGCTACAAGATGCGGGTAATAACTCTTAATGCTCTGCAGACAACTGTTCTCATTCAGTCCAGTCAACACAACCAACCTAAGACCCTCTGGCAGTTTGAGAGGACGCTCCATGAGTTTTCCATGTGATCTGGGCAAGCTGTTGGTCAGACTCCTCCATGTTTCCTTGTCATTAACAAGAAAAAGGACAGTCTTTCTGGTAGGCACCAAAACACAGGACTTGAACATGTGCCCCCTCCATGTAGCTGTCAAACAGTCCAGCCCCTCTGAGCCTCTTTTCTTTCTCCTGCATTTATTCCCTAAAGGCAGGGGAAGTCTCTGTCTGTAAATAAATATAGTACCTAGCACCACACTGCTTGTACTGATATTCAGGGTTTCAGATTCAGCCACAGTAAAACAACATTTTGACCCTGGTCATTTATTCCGCTGTACCAGATGAGTCAGATGAAACACAGCTGAGACCACGCCAGTCATCACTGCCCCACAAACCACTTCATCGCCTTCGAACAGGGATGAAAAGAACCAGATCCCCATCTGACAACTGTCCTCCCTGCAGGCTTGTGGGTACCTCGCAAGCAAAGAGCAGTCCCCACCACTGAGCCCACACAGACCTCACAGAGACTGAACACGTCCACACAGCAAGAGAAAGCAGACCTGGGAAGACGAGCTTTCTCCTCATCAATTTTTTAGGAGCAAACCACTGCCCAACATAACAAGCATGTTTTCCAGGGCTCACCAGAGCACAAAGCTTGACAAGAGGAGACTAAAAGGAAACCAGGGATTCTAGCCACCTCCTAACTAGCTTTCCAGAACAGGAATGCCAGACACGGGTTGGCAGTGTGTGGAGAGAGCACTGCTCCTAAGAGCCTCCCTGAGGACGTACCTTCCTCACCTACACAACAAAGGGGTTACGCATTGTAGGTGGCTGGCATTTTGCAACACCTTCCTGCCACAGCTGAGTTCTGTTCTTCACATGGATTTCTATATATTGTACCTACTACTGTCTTGCTGCTTGCAGAGCAGTTACCAGCTCTGCTCTTCCCAGTGCAAGCTGTAACATTAAACCTTATTTTACTTGGCAGCTAGAGCTCACTTCTCAAGCAGCTGTGAGAAAAAGACCCCTTTACTGATGCAAATAAACATGGTTTTATTTTTAATTTCTAAATTAAAACAAACAACTTGTGCTCCAGGCTGTGCAGGCCACATCCATCTCAATAAAACCCCACACAGAGCAAAGTAGACCTTCTGGCCTCTCTGATGCTCTATGAGATGCCTGGTTTTACCCTTAGTATTGCACACTGATAAGGACAGAAAACTGCAGAAGCGTCTCTGACTCCTTTTTCCATACCACCCATGAAATATGAGGCCAGCTGTGCAGACTACTGTTTCCACTGAAATAAAAGTTTAGCTGGAGCTGAGAATTAAACCCAGAACAGGTTTAGCCTACACATGACAAACTATGGAATAGATCTGGCTAGTTTTTGTCCATGATCTTATCCCTCATGGTGAGAGCAGGCTTGTAAAGACCACATCTGGGAGCTAACTCACAGCAACAGCAGTATCCCCAGCAATAGGGGTCTGAATGCAGGTCTGAATGCCCAGGGAATTTTTATCCCAGCAGTCCTAATTGCCAATGGCAGACATCTTATTTCTAACAAACTTGAACCATTGAAGCCTAGCACTAAAATGCAAGTTTGTGATGACCTCTCCTAGCGTGGTTTATTGGGAACACACAAGCAAGGACAGACAGAATGATGAAGTGTCTGCAACCCTGGCATCACGGAGTTGCCACTCCATACACAGCTACAGCAATAGGAGCAGCAGCAGCAGATGGAGCAGGATTGTTCAAATGGCAGAGCTGGTCCTTCCTTCTGAGACATACGGCTCTAGCAACGGATGAAAACAACCAGTGAGGAGATTCGAGGAGAGCAGTCCCGGAACACATGTGAGGAACAAATGCAAGGCTGAGCAGTGGCTCTGTATCTTTTGTTGTTCCTGGCATTGCATTGAAGTTGGATATACAGGTTCTGTTTCTAGTAGAACCAAGGTTAAATGAAACACCTGATGAGTGAGTATTTCAAACTACATCTTCAAGATAAGAGGAGATAGCCAAAAGCCTGCGTCCTGCAGTCTATAGCACATTACAGGTCTCTGCCATGAAGTAAACCCCAAAAGGGGAAGATGTACCACGTATGCACAGAGCTGCCAACCTAAATGTGCCCACACATGCAGCTGTACTACAGAAAGATTGCAAGAGCAGAGCTTTTTGAGTTAGAAAGGCATGCAGGCAGGCAAGGAATGAACTTTAAATTTGTGCTAAGTTCCCTTAGCATAAACTCTATATACACACACTATTTATCTATAAACCGTAAAGGCACAAGGGCTCTGTCTGGAGCACTTGGCTCAATTCATGTCCCTCCCATAGGCTTTCTGTTAAGGTTTAGGAAACCTACTGCTTATGTCTTCCTTTGGGTTGGGTTGTTCCATTTCTGAAACAAAAATGTTAATTCTTCACCTGTTTCCTGTTAGGATCCACTTGCAACAGCTTCTGTAACAATGGAGCAGTTGAGACCACTAATTTCTCTGTAAGCTAAGTATTGCTACTACCGCCACTGGTGAGGGGTTGCCCTTCTGCAATTGCTCCTTGATACTGTATTGGATTCCTGTGACTGGGCAACAGAAGAGAAAAATCACATTGCAAATTCACAAGCTCAGGATATTGTTGAATTCTGCAGCTGATCAGTGCAACTGGATGGATCGGAAAGCTTTGCTGTGGAGTTTGGTGATATGAGGCCAGAGTTTTCATTAGTCCCTCCTGCATATGCTTTAACATAGCAGAAGAAGATTGTTTCCAGTACCTCTGCCCACCAGCTTTTCCCAATTCAGCCCATTGCTTGTGGGAGATCTGTGCGAGAAGCCAATCTCCTATTCTAATGCAACTCAAAGCCAACTCTTTCAGTGGACTAAATACAGTCAAAGCAAAACCCATATCTGCTTTCCCAAGGTCCTTTCTCTCAAACAAATAAACAACCAAAAAAAAAGGTTTGTTTTTATAGAGCTTGGGTTAAAAAGCCACTCTTGGAAATGTACTGAGTGGAGCAATCCTCCAGCACCACCCAAAACTAGCCAGCAAATGAAAGCTCGCCAAGGCTGTTAATTTGGCGGCTGGGGGAGAATGAAACCTATTGCTACCATCTGCACAAAGGAAACGGAGGCAAAGCAAAACCCTGCTGTGTGAGCAGAAAGAAAGGTTCAGCATAGCAGAGACAACACAAACCATATGAGACACTTGTTAAACCCCCTTCCTGCTTTTTTCTCCACCACTAAATGGTGCAGGACTATGATCAATCTATTCAATAGAAGCTTCAAACAAGACCCTCAGGACCGTCAGTAGTGCAGGTCTCTGTTTTCTTACAGATTCTGGCACATTAAGGCACTGCTCCCTGGTAAATCTTAAAGACAACATGAATAGTTTGCATACACTGAGCCCCACAGATGGTTTGGATCTAAGAGACCTTGTGCAGACTGCAGTGGTCATGAAACCCATCCTCACAGCTAGAATTTGGGATGCACCACATTTTTGCCGTTGTTTGTTCTGCTCAGTTTGTGAACCAGAATAAACAAATGAGCTTTGGGAAAAAAAAAAAAAAAAGGCAGTTTGGAAAGAGCTTGACCTACTGTGAGCCCTCTATTCAGCTAATTGTACCCCAAAGGCAACCGTGGCTATAGTGTGTGCTGTTTCACAGGTGAAGAAAACAGCTCTCAGAGTAATCCTTGGGCTCTGGAGGGGGTTAATCTGCAATCAGCTCTATCTGTGGAGCTGGCCCCTACAGCTGCACCAATGTCTCCGGCTGGAAAGCTGGCAAGAATACCTTGGTAGTGCACCAGGAGGCTCTGGGAATTTCATTACATTTTCCACTCACCCAGCGTGTCTCCGGAAGGCCATCTACGGAAGAGAACAGAACTAGCATGTTGCCGCCCAACCCTCTGGAGTTTCTGCTTTCACACCCACTGCCAAAGCACAAACACCCTCACCCTAGGCCAGATTCTGATCATCTTCATACCAGCAAGAAAACCCAAATCCAGTAATATCAGCTTCAGACTCCTGCTGCAGTATCTCCTGACCAGCAATTCGGAGGGGGGATGCCCTTCCTCTCACCTCCAGCAGTATTGAGCACTGATTCTATCTTGCCTCAAACTGAAGTTGTGAGAAAAACACACCCCCCATGCTGTCCATGGAGCAGTAGGGCTGGGGTACATGTCTAGGCTTGTTGCAGCCTGTCTCTCAGCTGCCACTTGCAGTGGTGCTGTGGCACTTTCCACTTGAGCTTTGAAAGAAGCTTCAATTTACAGAGCTGGCAGGGGCAAAGGGTAAAGAATTTATCAGCTCTGCAATTCATTTTAGAGAGGGCACAGATAAAATGCAGCTCAGCTGGATTCACTCATCTCATCTGAGCAGATGTGAGGATATCCGGTGACCTTGTTGAAAACAGACTCACCTGGAGAGATTCAGAGGTTTGTACCAAACCCAGAGTTCTTCCAAAGAGCAGTTTTCACTTGGTGCCTGCAAAATTCTCCTTGCAAGAAAAACACCCTGCAAATAACGGACCACCAGCAGGGTCTCACACACAGAGAGACATCTCTGTGCTGAAAGGATACGGAGAATTTCTGTAGGTGCCCGAAACAGAAAGAAAAGGTGGAAGACCCAGGAGTCCAATCGAGACCATTCCCTCATTACAGGAGGACATATGTCACCTTTTTAGTATGTCCACAACAGCTGTGGGAGCTGGGGGACAACCAAGCAGACATCCTGCCCCTGGCACCAAAGCTCCACTTTGCACACTACTGCGGGGATCAGGGTTTGGTGTAATACTGTGCCTTACTTCAGACCTGTTGTCCAGAAGAGAAGCGGCACCAAACCCCAGGGGTTGCCATTGCGTGAGCAGTCCCAGCGGTGTGCCCTGAGATGACAGATAGCTGTGGTGTAAGCAAACCTCTCGGCAGGACTGTCTAACTCCAACTTAAAATTGAGCTTCTGTTTCAAGTCAGATTTTCCCCTGATGTGCCTCATCCTGCCCAGAGACAAAAATAGAGGAAGTGAGAAAACAGACCTTTATTACCAACTGCAGTCCCCACTGCCCAGCAACCAGCTCTACGCTCCATGTTAGCCTTGCATAAAGAGAAAATAATAAAACCCAACAACCCGCACTACCCACAAAATATAGACAGCAGAAGCCTTTATGCAGCTCAGGCAGCAACCACCATGTGTCTGCAAGCTGAGCAGAGCAGAGCTGCAGCCTTTGTCCCAGACATTGTCTAACCTCTGCTCCTGCTCTCAATGTGCTTCAGTGGTGCTGATGCAGGAGGTGAGCATGCTGCAGGCCGAATTGTGTCATTAGGTAAGCTGGGGTTTACCTAATCTCCTGTTTGTCCTGCTGAATAGGATGATCCTTTTCCAGGATTCCTCATTTCTTACCTATACACAGTACATACATAACAGACGTTTAGAACTGTATCTATGTTTGGGTTTTTTCCTGCTACAAAGAAAAAGTAATGACTGTAATGAAATAGTAACGAAGGTTAAATTGCCAGCCTGTGTGCAGTTGTGGTGGGGAACATGAGAAGGACTGCAGGCTGCAGTTGGCATTGCCTACCATAATTACCCATAACCAAATCATGGTTACACCCTGTTCCACACAACACTTTGGATTTACAGATTCAAGCACATCTCAGACAGATATGGGGCCTGTTCGTATCCCTCCTGATGTCTATAGCGAGACTTCAGTGGTCCAAAGTCCGCACAGGACTGCTTATGCAAACTTGGTATTTAACAAATGATTCGGATGAGCCAAGGTAAACAGGCAATGCAGACACCATGGAAAGCAAAGGAACAGCTTTAACTGAAGGAGCACATTATGCCTTCACATTATTTTATGAGGAACACATTAGCCCTGACAGAAAAGAGTGAGGAGATGAATCTCAAGTCATTACAAAAAAGCCAGGTCTCTATAAGGAGATACATGAATACCTCCCCAGTCCACCAGATAATAATCTTTTCACCCAGCCATGGACTTCAGTGAGGAAGGGTGAAAACATCTTTAACTGTCCCTCATTCCTTATCATCTCCTATCTGTCTGCCCTGCAACAGCCCAGAAGGCTGGTCCCACTCCCAGGGCAGCACTGCAGCCTCTGACCACACAGATCCCTGAACGCTGCAGGGAAGCAAGCGCATAAACATCAGAGCAGCAAAGCCCCAGGGACAGACCAGCACCCCGCAGTCACTGTGACACTGGAGCCAATGAGTCTGGGCTCTGAGGAGCACGTTCAACCTCTGGCATATAACCCTGCAACACTATCTCCACCATTTCCATGTGGGGCATCCTTTTCCGCCACCTACGCTGCCTAGCATGGGCACCAGCTTAGCCCACCTGCTGTGAGCTGTTAGTTAGTCAAGTATACTCCTCTAACATGAAATATATATGCAGTTTCTGGGATGCTACGGGGCTCTCACAGCCCTGCCTGCCTTGGGTAGGGAGGATGTGTGGGAAGAAAGCCTTCAGAAGCTGCTGCAATGACAGGCTACAGTCTAGTCAAACATTAACACCCCCCGGACCACTCCCAAAACCAGCGGTAACAATCCAGTTAGGAATTTGAAAGCCAGTGAGGCTCTTCCCCACAAACAGGCCAGCCCTTTGGCAGCCGAGGGCAGGAGGGCCAGGGCAGCACACAAACACAAGCTCTCATAACACCATAAAGAGCTTCTGTTTCCCGACACACTGCAAGGGAGGGAAGGCAGAGGCCAGGAGAAAAGCAGCAGTCTCGGGCCACGTGGCAGGTCAAACCACCGCCCAGTTTGTTGGCATCCTCTAAAGTTTAAATACACTTTGAGCCAGCAGTGAATCATCCCTGGCAGGTAAGAATGATGTTAATTTATGACATGCCAAGTGCAAGCAGATCTTTTGGTGTCAGTCCAATGGTTTTAGTCTTATTAACACACGGCGACGGCTCAGGTTGCAGCTGTGCACATTAAAACTCTGGCAAGTGGCATTTTAAACAATGACAAACTTCAGAACAATCACTCCACACATGGAGCCAGGCCAGGCAAAACTGAAGGGTGGCAGAATGAAGGTCAGGAGGGTAACCTGTTTGTCTGGGAGAGGAACAGGTGGCCGCTTGGGTTGCTGCAGGGTCTTTAAACTGTCTGAAGGACACAGTCAAGGATCATTTTAACCCACTAAGCTGCTTAAACCTTCCCTTACACTGGTTTGAACTTCCAGAGAGCATTAAATCTTAAAGAGCTTAGTAATACATCTTCAGGAAAGCTCTCCCCTCTGCTAATGCATTCACAGTGCACACACTGCACTATGGAAGCACACATCCCTCCTTTGACAGCAACATCCCTCTGGCAGCTGAACCATGCAGCTAAAAAGCAGTAAGCTTTAAACTAAAGCATTGCACCAGAGCAGCAAGTCACACAGGGAAACACATGACCACCATCCTGCTCAACAGGCCTAAGGACACCAGGCTCCTCAGAGCTAGAGAAAGACAACTCAGAGAGGAAGACGTGCCTTCATCAGCTCCTCCTTCTCCAACCTCACAAGGGACACAGAGCTGACAGTTGCTGAGACCCCACGGCAGCCCTGGGTTGTGCTGGCAAACTCAGACCACATCCAGCAAGGAGGGCTGTGTAACAAGAGCGACTTCTGAGTGCAGCTTCTTACCTTGAAGGCACCCGAGCAGAGCAAAGTCAGTCCAAACCCTTTCTGCCAGTTGTGTTTTCATCAGAAGATGTGATGTTGGGAGACATAAAAGACATTTTCATGGCAGAAAACAAACATTTCGTGTTTCAAAGCTGTGTTTCTCAATTTGAAACATACCGAAATAAAGTTTTTGAAGTGTCAAAAGACAGATGTTTCCGAATAAAATGGTAGAATCAGATCTGACATGTAACAAAGTTTTCCAGTGCAGTGCTTCCAAACCAACTGGTATCAGAATTTTTATATTTCCACCCCCAATTTTCTCCTTGCAAGCAGAATTTTTATTTTCCAACCGGGTACTTCCCAAACGAATTTTAAACAATAAATCAGGTCTTGTGAAATGAGTACAAGGATTTAGCGACACGAGATCAGATCCACAACAGAGTGTAAATTCATAAAGAAACAGTTATTTCTGATTTAAATACCAGGTGTGTGGATGTACTTATTCCCAAATGAAATTAGAGGACTTAAATTCTTTCATAACAAGACGCTTTTATTCTGGAATAGGAACATCCACATATGAAATTCATCAAGAATTGCTAAAGCCACGGTAAGGTCTCAGGCTACTGACTGTTAAATGAAAACAGTAAATTTGTTCTCCCTGTTGCAGCTTCTTGCTACGTAACACACTAGATCCTCCTGGATAAATGTTCCTCTAAGTTAAAGACTAGTCCCAGCACGTCTGTGAACACCTCATGGTAATACTTCAATGAGATGGACTGGAATCAATACTTTTCATCTTTGCAGCTCGGGGCCAGAGAGCAGTGAGTGGGGCAGGGGTGTCAGACCATGTGACACCAACACGGCAGGGAGGGAACCAGCTCTGCACTGACCTGGAAAGAAGTTTCTAGCTAGTAGGCATCAGTTCCTGCATCACTTGAGCTTCCTTGAGGGAGGAGGGAAAAAGGAGATAATTAAATAGGGGTTTTCAATTCAAACCACCTCCCCAAGTATCCTGAATAGCAATCAGACATAAGCTTGCCTACTGTTTAGATTGAGCAACTGGAGAAATTCAAGCCCCCATATTTCATAAAAAAAGCTTCAGAGCCAGGATTAGATACTGCTAGATCTAAAAACCTGATATGCAGTACTGATTTAATATAAATGAATCCATTAATTTAAGTTAGATATTCTCTATTCATCTGTAGCCAGAACAGAACGCATCTCTGTGATCTAGATCATTGTAGAGAAATGTGATTAGGTGCTTTTGCCTGATAAAGAACAAACCTGTGGTACTCAGTGTGCAGGTAACACAGTGCCTTAACATCAGTGTAAATGGATCCATAGCAAGAGTCTGGGAACTGACTGGATAATGGAGCATGGAGCTGTTATTTGTAACTATACAGGAAAAGAAGCAAAAGAGGTATTATACTGTGAGAGTAACCAGTGTATCTGTAGAAGTATAAAATCAATATTAATTCTACAAAGATGTAAGATATAAACTAACTCCCTATTGCAGCAGTTACACATCTTTTATAGAAATAAAGATG